AGGGTTTCCCCCCCCCCCCCCCCAGCCTCTGCCTAGGGAAAGGACAGTCTTTCCTTGCAGTGGGAACCAAAGCAGCTAACATCATTCTCCTCTTCCCCGTATGATCCGCACAACTACCCTATGAGGTATGTTAAGGTTGAAAGTGTGTGAATGGTCCATAATCCCTCAGACAGCTTTTAAAACATGAACCTGGGACCTGCACACCATCCTCTGAAGCGCTCTCAGGTACATATCTGTGGCAGTAATGGGGTGAGTGCTGGCACCTTTTCCTATCATTTTTTGCCTTGTGGTATTCTGCTTGTGGTGTGATCTGTCTTTTTTGTGGTGTGGCATGATTGTGTTATTGGGTTTGTTTCTTTTGAAGGGGAAGTGATGTGTTGTGAGTGAGGACATATTTTACCTCAGAATACACCAGGTCCCATATGCAACTGACAATTCCAACTGTCTTGCGGGGGGGGGGAGTTTGAGGTGTTGAATGAAGTCCAGTCAGCTTCCATATGCAAATGACCTTGAAATGCTGGCCCAATTAGAGAAGAGTGGGCTGAAGCGGTCCAGCCATAGAAGCCCCGTCCCTGTGCTCAGTCTGCAGATGGTCCTCAGAGCAGACTGAGCCGAACATGCTGACCAGGGCTGACGTGGGCAGGACTACACAAAGCAGCCAGCCAACCCAGCCAGCGTCTTCTGACTGACAGTTCAAGCCTCCAAACACTGTTGGTGTGCATTGGAACGTTGGGCCCCACTATGGCTTTATATATAAGGGACAGATAATAAATCCAGCTGTGTTAGTCTGCTGCAGCAAGATTAAACAGAAATCCAGTGGCACTTTAGAAACCAGTAATGTTGGAATAAATTTTGTTAGTCTTTAGGGTGCCACTGGACTTCGGTTTGTTTGCTTCACATAGATACTGCAATAAAGCTATAGCAATAAGGGATATGAATGCTCATAGTAAATACATTTTGTGAGTTGCTGAAGTGCTTCTGGACTCCTGATTCATTTAACTGGACACCCAGTTTCCCTGCTTTAATTGGGGGGGGGCGCATCTTCTTAATGGTTTCTGGTGTAAAGGTTATGTCACAATGAAGCTATTAGTCTTTAGACTAATACCCCAGGACCCCATTGATTGTAACAGACACTGGAATATGTCTACCCTAGGACCCCGTTGATTGTAACAGACACTGGAATATGTCTATATGTAATGTCTTAGCATTTCACAGAGTTAAAGTGCCGAATACATATTTTTATGTCTGTGTGTTTCACCGACACTAGGAATTTTTAAAATTAAATGTTTGATCTTTTTCACTGTCAGGGATCTGGGTGCTCTGTGTGTGAAAGTGGTCAGCCAGTGGATTTTACTGTGCAGCTAAATTCAAGTCCATCAGTTTTTAGCCTATTCAGACTTGGGACCCACATTCAACCATGAGCCACAACAAGGGACCCCTAACCACCACCCCCTTTACTTGTACTGTCTGTCTCCTCTTTCAATGATAATCAGATGCAGTAAGAGGATTGTCAAGTTAGGTTTTCTATTCACTGTGCCTGTAAAGTGAATGTAAAACCTTCATTGTTCTTGTTGCTTTCTCACCACAATGACCAGTCGTCAGACATTTGGACTGTCACGTAGGATGGGGCAGTAAAAGCATTACAGGCACTAGTTGGTTCATGTCTATGAACTCCGCTGCCCTCATTTCTCCAGTATTTTAAAATTATTTTTTGTCGCTTTGTGGATCTTAATCACTTTTTAAAATAGTGGGATTCTAACAGCATGAAAACTTCACTTATGTGAAAGGATTATTGTGTTATAGGGACTGTAGACGGTTAGGAAAAATATTGTCCTACATAGGGTTTTCAGATTGCCTCACACACCATATAAGTGGAAAATTCCCAGAAAATTACATCTTGAAATCATTTTAGTTGCTTCAATAAGCTTAGCAATTTACAAGATTTTCGTCATTCGTAATCCTTAAAAGCATGATAAATCCATTTGTTGCTTGTAATAGACATGTGTCAACAAATCCAGTTTGGTTTGACAGCA